TTGTTCAGGTCCAAACTGTTCAGGGTGGCACTGAAAGGGTGGCACAGAAAAAAACCCAAATACCCACTACTAGTCATCTGTTTCCATTATGTCTCCAACCACAAAAGGGGGTGAAAAATGCCACTAATTAGCACTGCAGATTGCAGAAGCTGATCCCCTATTTACAACCCTGTAACTCCATCTCTTCTTGATAAGGGAATTACAGTGATGTGCGAGGGCTGTAGCTTTAGTCCATTTGTAAAGCCCACTACAATCACCCACTTCAGATGACACTTCAGATATGAGGAAATGCAATCATCCATGTATGTAGTTAAACATGATAGTAAAATGTACTTTTTAAATTAGATATGAAGGTTCATTAAAAGTTAAGTCACAATGCAAGTCTTATTTTGATTCGTTCCTGTGACTCCTTCAAATTATTTAACCCAGCAACACCACTTCCCAAAGATGTAAAAATGTGAGGATTAAAGGCAAGTTTAATGTTGAGAGTGTGAAGACTATTCAGTAAAGTACAGACAAGCAAAAAAAAAAAAAAATCAAAAAGCCTATTTTAGGCAGGTTTCAAGGTTAAGATCAACAACTAGAAAATCAAAGTTACTTGGACAAAGTAACTTTGTTCCCTCTGGTTAAAGTGATGTCCCAGAATTGAAAATATTTAGCATTAAGATTAATCACCACTCTTTAGGACTAAAATCACTTGAAATGTATAAAGCAGATTCGTTCCATGATGCTCTCTTTTTCTAGCAAAACAATTATATCAAACTTGAATATTCTAATGTTCAATTTTAGGGTTTCTCCTTTAAAGAAGCTAAGTCTACTATGATATGAGAATGAGAAATTTACACCTACCTGTACCTTTCTAATTGTATTAACAACTCCACGTTAATCTTAAAAATTGGTTTTTGGTAAGAGTAGTGTGCAGAGGCACGAGGAGAGTTGAAAAGCAGAATTCCAGATTTTATTTTTTTAAAGGTTGAAAAAACACACCTGGGACAAAATTTCTTTGATCAATAAATTTTCAGGAAATGGAGCAAGTTCTTCTGGGACACAGTCAAAACTGGATAAGTTGAAAAAGGGGTTCTGACAGCACAACTTGGGAAACAAGTTTCTGAACAAATCTTAAACCACACTTTCCCCCCGCCCCCAACTGTTCAAGTGGCAGACAAAATAAATTACCATAAATTATATGTCGAGGCAACTCAAAAACAAAACAAAACATGATGCTGAGGATTTCTTTCGCTCCTCCAGGAAGTGTGTAACACTGCTTCTAGCCTGCAGGCTGGGGCTGATCGGGACCTGTCAGACGTCAGGATAGTTGCAGTAATATACCGCAGAACTGGCATCGGACACCACCGAGGAAATGGCCCCGTGGCTGTCTGGGAGATTCACACCAGAGTCATGTCCCTGGTAGGGGAGACCCATCTCGGGCTTGCACACGAAGTGCAGGTACTGTTCAAATTCCGTGCGGTCCATCTCCCCGAGGAGCTCGGCGGGCTGGCCGGGGTCCGCGGCGTCCCGGCAGGGCAGCGCCTCGGGAGGAGGCGACGGCTGCCCCGGCCCGGCGGGTGCTGCTGC